CCCCAGAACGATCACCAACTTCCATTTTGGGAAACAGGTAACGATTATTGGGATTCTGCAGCATCATCCGGAAGATTTCATCTCGCCGCTCATCTTCATCCATAAAATCAAGATTAGAACGAGCAAATGCCAATCGCTTTTCTTCTTGGATGCTCTCAACACTGCCCAAAATACTATCCCATGGTGCTCGTGTCAGGAAGGATTCCGGGAAAGAATCATTTTCACTTGGATCATCCAGAAAATGCTTGATAAGGTATACTGCTTCCGAACGTGATGCCTCGAGTTTCATGAGATGCCTGGATTCTTGCTTAAACCAATAAAAGTGCCAGCGATCATTTAGATCTGTCATTAGCGTTAGAACTCCAGTCGTGTGGTTCAGTCTGGACGCAGCACAATGCTGCAGCACAGCCTGCTTTTGTATTTTGTCTTGTTCTTGGTTTTTATCCTTTTTTAATTCAATACCCATCAAAATACTGTGTTTCGCAGTTGAGATGTTCGGATTGTGGGCGGCAAGAACAACAACACCAATGCTTCCTTTCATCCTTGGCTTGGTTGGAGGCAGGTCTGTTTCCAGGAGCTCCTTAGCGTTCAAAGCATCGAATAGACAAACCGAGTCCGGAAATCCCAGCTCCTTGAGATATGCCATATATCCCTTGCGATTCTCTGTGTTATCTTCTTTTGCCGCACCCCATTCGAAAGTCATGTCGCACTGAGGACAAGGTGGCCTGTTCTGCCATGGTGCTGCGACTTGCTCAATGTCCAAGCTTGTCATGACCTCATTAAATACTGTGGAAGTCACATTTGAGAAAGCAACTGTGTCATCTTTGTCTCGAAGAGCTGCCAGTTCTTGACTCAGAGCTTGTACCGCCAATTGGAAATTGGAAATTGAAAAGGTATTGATGCAGAACATTGCAGTAGATGCATTGTGTGGGTAAGGACAATATCGACGGAGGGAAGAGACATGAAACAAAATGTAGTGAAACGATTATCATGCTTACCTTGTACCAATTTCGTCAGTTCTTGACTCAGAGATTGTACCGCCAATCGGAAATTGGAAATTGAAAAGGTATTGATGCAGAACATTGCAGTAGATGCATTGTGTGGGTAAGGACAATATCAACGGAGGGAAGAGACATGAAACAAAATGTAGAGAAACGATTATCATGCTTACCT